TTTGAGAGAGGCGGGGCATAGAGGACCTACAATAATGTACAGTATTTATTTGAAAAAGTATTTTTTGAACATTAAAGCATTTCAACATATTCTGTTACACCAAATGCACAAAATAATGATCTTTAAAATAGCGTCATATGACCCCTTTAAGGAAAAAATAGACACAAAAATTGGGATTTGCGTGTGTGTGTGATAAACATTATGCAAATACCCAAATGTAATAAACGAGTGATTGTTTGTAATAAACTGTTGATTGAGCTTAACTTGTGCTAAACCTTCAAAAAAAAACTTCAAAAAACAAGCATGAGAGGATGACTAGGAAAACATGTCACTATACAGTACAGTTCAAACCTGATTGGATAAGTTATGTATTGTATGCAAGATGACTGTTATTGTGTTGCCTGAAGCGTTTGGTGGTTTAATCATTTCAGTTCATGACTAAAATCACATGGTCACCCCCAGAAGAGCATGATAGCTTATTGGAACATCAAGAAACGAATCAAAAGTATCTGGAAGAGACTTTCTTAGTTTTACAGCTTTTGTGTCTTAATATTGTGGGTGAATAAATGAGTACAGCTGGTGCTTTTTAGCGTGTGGTCATTTTGAAATCTTTCCCGTGACTCCGTTCAACAAGGAAACATGCTGACAATAGTTTAACATACTAATTGAGGAGCATCTGAGATGTTTGGGGACACAAAGTTACTCCCAGTGCCACCAACTCCCAGAAATGAGGCGATCTGAGCGGTTAAAATATGGGCGGCACACAGAGCAATCCAAATGACCCATTTTGCCACCCCTCACCCATCTCAGCAGATGGCATGGTCACGGTCCAGCGTTACAGGACAGACAGGGGAAGTAATGGCCAGGCCTGCGCTTTGTAATGATTACAATGGTGTTGGGAGTCAAAATGACCAGAAGTTGTGATGATCATTAAAGACAATGAACAAAAAAAGGCTAACGGTTGCATTCTGGTGAAAATAAACTGAGCAGTTAAACTCAGAGGTTTTTCATCATTATTCATCACCTTTTTTACTTAAATGGTCCTGCAATGTGGCACATTATTATTTAAATGGACAAATATTCCCTCTAAATATAGTTTAAGATCATCATGTGTAATTATAAAAGAATCACAAAATGCTGTTTAAACCAGTTTTTAATGAAGTATGACAAGCAACATTTATCATGTGATCGGTCAATGTCCAACAGTATGCAGTGATGCAATTAATCTCATGCTTGTTAATTATTTCATATTAAAAATGACGCAGTGGCCTCAAAATGTATTTGGACACTATTAGGATTTTATAACAAAATATCAAGTCAAGTGGCATTTATTTGAAATGAGCACGAACACCTTTCAAGCACACAATGGTTTGGTTCAATTATTTATATATTTATATTATTATAATTTATTTATTCTTTTATTGGGAATTTATATCTAATGCAATGACATTCATTTATTTTAAATGTGACATTCCATTAATATCAGTTGCGGTTTCATTTACAAAGAGGCAGAAATATAAGGAAAGTGAAAAAAGTACAGCAGATTTCTGTAAGCATATAACTTTTGATTGTCATATTAATCCTGTGTGATTTTCAGTTTTGAATTGAAATGTGAAACGCAGGAAAATGTCTGTCACTCTGACGATCCACTAAGTCATTACTTCTAGTCTAAATGAATGAAATGGGTGGTTTGAAGGTTTCAGAAATCAAAATTGAGCCAAATACCATATGCTTGTTCTCTTGGGGTGTAGATTATTTGACAAATATCTGCTTGCAAATTCTTATGCATTCACTGCAGGATCCATAAAAGAATGAATCGGTTCAAAGACAGTATCGTCACAGAAGGTGTGACTTCAATATCTCCTAAAAGAGCTTTTTTAGATAAAGTGAGGGAATCACTCTGGTGAAGCAAACATATCAGACAGCTTTTTAGAAAAGACCCTGACTGATAAGAACGCAAACTAAATTTAATTCTCAAAGTGGGAGTGACTCTCCACTTATCTGCTCCTTTGGAAAATGCATTTTAGGTATGCGAAGTGGAATTTACTTAAAAGGGAAGTAAAGTTTGTGCTGGAGAACGGACCAAAGCAGTGAGTGACAGATGAGTGTTTGTGCTGTGACTAAGTTCCCCCAAAGCCCACTGAAACATTCTAAAAATGCATTAGCGGGACCTCAGTCTGTACATCACAGGCTATTTATAGACCAGGCGCCTTAATGCTTCCCCAAAAGATTTCTTCCAATTATCTCTGCCAGTGTGTACCGAACCAACTAGAAAGATCTTAAAGTGATAGTTCACTAAAAATGAAAACCCTGTCATCATTTACTCGCGCTCATGTTGTTTCAAACCTGAATTAATTTCTTTCTTCTGCTGAACACACACAAAAAAAGATATTCTGAAGAATGTTGGGTTAAATTGCTGGTATCCACTGACTTCCATTTTGTATTATTTCAGAATTATTTTTGGGTGAACTATCCCTTTCAATGAAAAGCTATTTTCTATGGCTCTGCGGGCTTTAGAAGTAATTCAGCCATAAAATCTCTATATAAACATTTAGAGAACTAACGCGTTCACCAGTTGTTGTTTTTTTAAAGAATTCTTTGCAAATTCAAGGACAAACCCCCTCTCTTTCTTCTGTGCTCTCTGTTATAGATTTGGATTGTATAAGCTGAATGGTTTGGTGACTCATCAAGCCATTTTCTGAAAAACTACTAGAAAATTCCAGTCATCCAAAGGGGGTCAATTAACATAAGTGCTACTGGCTTTAAACAACAAATTCCCTACTTGCTTTAGTCTTGAGTTCTCTTATGTCCTGAAGAGAGAACCTACATTCTGATGAATACATTTGGAATCAAATCAGATCAAGAATCAAACAAAATATAATGTTTTTTCTTTGTATGTGTGTGTGTGGTCAAGGTATCTCCTAGGGAACCAAATCCACAAAAGAATGGTAAAAGCTGAAATATTTGACATTGTGGAGACAAAGTTTCAGCCCCCATGAGGAAAACAAGCTTATAAATCCAAATGCAGAATGTTTTCTGTAAGGACAGGTTTAGGGGTAGGGTTAAGGAATATAATAGAATAGAAAGTTTTTCAGCAGTCATCACTCCAGTCTTCAGTGTCACATGATCCTTCAGAAATCAGTCTAATATGCTGATTTGGTGTTTAAGAAACATTTAATATGATCAAACAGTTGTGCTGCTTTATATTTTTGTGAAAAACATTTTTTTTAGGAATTCGTTGACAGTTCAACGAAAAAGTATTTTAACAAGTATTTTAATTAAAAAAAAATTTTAACAATGAAGTATTTACTGTTACCTTTGTAAAAATAAATAAATTAATTAAAAAGTTCCTCAAAAATAAATAAGAAAATAGCCTATGTTACACAACATGCACCCCTCAAAACATTTCAGAAGAGCAATGATATTTCTGCTTTATTTCTTTAGCATCACATATGGAATATTTAACTTTGAACATCAGTATCCACTCACTGGCATTTTAGACACTCGAAAATGATAAACTGCCCGTTTCTGAACCATTTGATGGCATGACAGACAGGCTGTGGTACTCAGAGACGACTCTGTGTGCACCTCTGTTATCTAAGACATCGAGTTCCATCATATCTGAGAGTCCTCAGGTCACAAACACTCCAGCTCTGCACAACAGTGACTCATGCTCTCTCGGGACCTGTGTGGGAGAACAGTCCAGATATTCATCACAAATCAGTGTGACTCATCTCAGAAAAATATCTATCTATCTATCTATCTATCTATCTGTCTATCTGTCTGTCTGTCTGTCTGTCTACCGTCTGTCTGTCTGTCTGTCTGTCTACCGTCTGTCTGTCTGTCTGTCTGTCTATCTGTCTGTCTATGTACAGTTGTATTGCTGAAGCATTTCCAGCATAACCAACAACAAACTGTGCAATGTAAAATAATAATAGTGAAAATACAATGATATTGTATCATTATTAGTGCAAAATAAAATTAAACTAATGTGAAATTATATAAACTAACAGTGCAGGGTAAATACTAGATATTTATTCTAATTTAATTATTCAGAGGTGGACATTAGTGAAGTAGTTTTACTTGACTCAAGTAGCCTAGCTAAATTTAAAAAGTAGCCTGTCTGTACTTTGTCAGTGTTTTTCTTAAGAAAAACTTTTACTTCACTACATTCCAAAGCATAATGTCGTACTTTTTACTGCAATACATTTTATAAATAAAAGCTGTTTTTTTCCCTTTAATAGGCTACTTAAGAACAAAATAAAATGTAGTAGGCTACTTTCTTGTACTCAAGTAGCCTAAAACTTTTAATTACTTTTACTTGAGTAAAAGTAAGAAAGTACTAGATTTCTAATGTAGGCTAATCGAGTATTATATTTATTATGAAACGCAGTAAAAAGTAGGCTACAATATCATGCTTTGAAATGTTGTGAAGTAAACGTTTTCTAAAGAAAAACACTCTGATAAAGTACAGACACTTGAAAAAATTTACTTTTAAAGCAGAGTAAATATACTTCACTACTGTCCGCCTCGGAGTAAATTTAAAAAAGATGAAAACTATTTCTTGGTGTGCCAATAGTAACGACAACTCTCTATCGCCGTCCTTTCGGCTATTTCCGTTCATTTCCGTAACTACTCGGAAACTCTTCAGAAGAGGGGCAGGACTCGGCGCTCGAGTGCGCCTGTAACTAATCCAGTTCATTCCACCGGATCAGTTCACCTGGACTCCTGACGGACGTTAATGTGCGGAGCAGGTGAGCTTCACTGGATAAGTTACTATCTTTCGAGACAGCACTTACTTGACAGTTTTTGAGTCTTTTAAAGTGAGTTCATAACAGTTACGGTCAACTTTAAACGCAGACTTTGTGATCATTTTAAAACAATCTCCAAACACTTCTGAGGAATGCGGCGGATCTGAACCGCAATAGTTTGTTTGTGTTTACAAAGTGATTTGGGCAGCACAAGACAATCTAAAAAGGAAACCATGGCAACAGGAGGATTTAAATCTAACAGCGCAACGGACTTTCTGGAGGAATGGAAAGCAAAGCGTGAGAAGATGAGAGCAAAGATGCTGGGAGATATCGCCGCCGCCACCGGGAGAACCACTGAGTTAAACAACAACGGCAGCTCGGTTAACTGCGTCTCCTCTTCGTCCTCCTATCCGGTGACCCGGTCTTCCTCTTCGACCGCTTTGAAGGACGAACCGAAGAAACCCGAGCCGCCCGGGGAAAACTTGAAGACGCCGGAGAAAGTGAGTGGTGTCCCGCAGGCGGAGAGCTCGAGCCCCGCTGGTGTGGAAGACAGTGATAAGGAGAGTCCCACACACAGCAAGAATAAAGAGAATAAGAGCTCAGGACCCAGCGCAAGAAAGGGCAAAGGACAGATAGAGAAAAGGAAGTTAAGAGAGAAGAGGAGGTCAACAGGTGTTGTCAGCATACCGTCCAATGAGGTGAGTTCACTTGTTTTAAAGTTAACCATTTCATCCAGGTAGCAGCAGTACTGTGGTATCAGATGATATTTATAATCACAATACTCATAGACGATACATTTACGTGATTTTCCAATGTATTACCATTGTACTTCCAAAAACATGGCAATACTGTGGTACTTCTTGTATAAGAATGCCCATTTCTACTGGGTTGCCTTTATTGCAACCACATTTTTATGTGGACAAATGTTAGCCAAATATTGTAGATTAGGTATAAAAACATGGTATTAGTAAAATAGACAAGCATTGTGTCATTGTATAAATAAAAGAGTCAATACCATGGGACTTGCTGGACTTTTATATATATATATATAAAAAATAATAATAATTAAAAAAAAAAAACATTGACATGGCACCATAAAGCCATGGTAATGGATTCTTGGCCATGAAGCTTTGATGTATATCATGTTACTGAAGGATTGACATTAATATGCAATTTTTGTACCATATAAACCCAATTATTCCAATGGCACCATGTCAAACATAGTTATACAGTATTACGTGTGTGTAAATGGCCCATATACTGAGTTGCAACCATACTTTATTAATTAAGTTTAAAAACATGGTATGTTTGGAGGCCAACATGGTCCATAATGGTCATAAAACCAATTGTAATTTTTTTTGTCCATTATTCTTTGATGTATACCATTACACTGAAGGATTAACTATTAATATGCTGTGTATTTACATGCATTTCAAAGCATATTGTCGTATTAACCATCATGCTAGTTTCCAAACAATATTGTAATACTGTGGTACTTGTGTAAATGATCTGTCGGCCCATATCTACTGAGTTGGAGTTGCAACCATATTTAGACCTACTTACAGACAGTATCCTAAATATGTTTGTAACAAAAGTAGACAAGAATGTGTTTGCCATGGTACCGCCGTTCAAAAAAGGTGGCAATACCATGGTACCTTTTTTGTAGGTGGTCAGTTGGTTCTTTTTTTTTTTTTTTGGAACCACGTTTGCTCTTAGATCTTTACCTATCCCTACTATGTGACTACAAAACATGGTATTAACTGTTTTATCATTCTCCATAAACAGGGAAATACCATAGCATCTCTTTTGTAAGTCATCTGTTGGTCCATTTGTGCCAAACTGGCACAACCACATTTGCTTACATAGACAAAACTCCAGCCAAGTTATGTAACTTAAGTAGAAAAAGCTTTAATCTGAAATCCATCATTAAATGTCACTCCCATCAGTTCACTCGCATGCCTTCCTTATGTAATGTATGTGAAATATCTGTTCAGTGCATGTTCTCCTCCAAGCAACTCTCACATAAATCAAGACTAGAATGCACTGAGTTTGATCACTAACACATTGAGATAATATTATACATATTTTCTCCATTTCATGATTTATGATGGCTGTGGTTTGCAGAATAACATTCTATATCATGTGATGTAGATGATGGAGAACATGGTACGGCTGTTCCTCTAGTTTAAGAAACTTCATCAGCTGATCAGTTCACCATAACAGTTGGCCTCCAAAACATGCCAACTGACTCATAAGTTTCACCACTGTTATCTCTCACACTTTCAACCCGTCACGTTCCCCTGCATGAGTAAAGGGAGTCTTGTTAGTGTAGTATGCCATTGCAGTATATACTGGAGCTGTGAATGCCTACGTACCACCCAGCTCCGCTGCCCCGCGGATAGTTACTGTTGGAGGCTAACCGGTGTGTCTGCTTGGGCTGAAGACATCCTGTCATTAGCCTCTTGCACTGTGCCAAGGTAAAGTAGTTTGGGAAGTGGGCGCAGGCCAAGAATTAATGTTAGGGTGTCTTTGAGAGATAAGTGTGCAAGTATACACACTCATGCCCCATGGTCTCTCTGGGGCTGTAACTGCTAGAATGCATATGTGGGGTTGGTTAAATTATTTATCGTTTTGACACTTCATTTTTTTATTCTGTCGGGGGTTGAAGCGAAGGAGCATGGTATGCAGTTCGAGCGCTCTATATAGTGTGTAAGTGTGAAGGCAGTTAATGGCTATGACATGCTGTCTAAACGCATTCAGCCAGGGTCCCATCACCTGAAACTATCATTTATGCCTGATATGGTGTACAACCATATGTCTCACACCTCTTGGAATTTATCAAACAGGTCCAATGTCTGCTTGGTTTTGTGAAAAGACACGTACTATCCTTCCCTGAACTGCTTTGCGAAAAGATATGCTGTAAACCAGACATTTGGACTTTCCATAGGTCGTTTCCCTGTACTTCCTGCTGTGGCTTCAAATTTATAGGGCTCATTGTTCCACCGTGTGCATTTAGCAGCTCGCTGTGAGTTATTGGACTCTTGCAGAGCTTCCCAGCTCTCCGCCCGAAACCTAAACTTTGTTTCCCACTGTCTTTGTGATGGGCGCTGATAACATCTATAAAGCCTGCCCCGAACTTTGGCTCAGAGTAATTAGTCAGTAATTCATTGCTGCCGACTGCAAATGAGCAGTCCCTTGCAAACACCTTTAAGTGAACCCTTCTGTATATGTGTATGTCCCATTGTAACTTTAATCCGTAATGTGTTTGTTTAGTATTACAGATCTGAAAGTTCATATCACCAGCCAGAATGTTTGATAAATGTTCTCTTGCTACGTATGTTTAGCTAGGGTGACTGAGAAGTTTGTTTTATTTTCTGAGTGTTTGGACCAGCGCAGCTCTAATAAACGCAAATGCTATTGTTTGACATCTGGCCGAGTCTCAAACTCCTCACGACCCGTTTGGAGATAAAAGCCTCCTATGTCCGGTCTGCTTGGCGGTTTTCCATTTCAAATTCCAAATCCAGCATAAACAACGACATTCTCAACTTTATGTGGTGTGAAAACCTTGAGCTGGTGTTTGCACAGGAGAACTGGAGATGAACCTGGATACGACTGTCCATCAGCAGGGCGATCATTTTATATTTGGATGGAATTCACAACCCTGAGAAATAAATATTTATGATTGTTTCTTGCTGAAGGAGTTGCTAGTGGCAAAAAGCCAGGTGGTTTTTTTTTACTTTCTTAGAGGAAGCTTGGCAAATCTAAAGCTTGAGTCGGCCTACATACTGCAGCGCTGAAAGAGATCATAAGTTATGGCTTACGTTTTGAAGTCCTTGGGAATTTGCTGTACATTTGTGACATTTGAACAGGAAACCTGAGCTAACTGGCAGATGTTTGGCATTGGGAGCAGTCATGTAGATGAAGAACAGTCTTTTACATTTCCTTATCTTCTGCTGCTAGTGACCTATAGGGTCTGGTTAACCAAACAAGGCCTTCGTACAAGCAAATCACGACTAGAGGAAGTGGAAATGCTTCTATTGAAGCACTATTTTCTTGTGTACTGCTGTGTTTTAAACCTGTGGTTGTTGATCAACTTATTGTTAGCGGTCGGTGACCTGTTGTAAAATGTCAAAACATCGGCACCTTGGTTAACTACCGTTGTATAATGTCAAACATAAAAATTTGGTTTTGAAATTTTATGACATTGTACATTTGCCAACGGTCTACTGCTTGGAATGAGACTTTGCCACCTAAACAAGCATGGGACGGCATGTTTTGCAGTCACCATTTTTTCCAAACAAGGTCACATCAACACTACAAATACCTCTGAGATTCAGTCATGGGTAAGTAAGGTTAAGCAACCAACCGTTAACACTTTCTCCTTTTGATTTTAGGACATTCCAGGCTATGTACCAAGCATAGTGGAGTATTTTTGGTAATCTTTTCAACAAGGGAAATTCCTGCATTTATTTGTTACCACTGTTATTTGTACTAGAGGCTACACTGCATTCATGTTCTCCACCAGAAGTGTAATTCCATTAAGTGGAGATTATGAGCAACTTGAAAGTTTAAAACTCAAGTCTTGATAAAAAAGGTAAAGCCTCACTTTATGCTCCGGGTCCTGCTACGAGGCTCTGGGAAGGTACTTTGGAAGTCAGGCCTTGTTAATGTACCGCTCAACAGTCAAAGCATGATGTACTACATCCATTTAACTGTTGGACCAAATCAGCACACATAATCGAAGAGCTGGAATGCAATGAGACCAAGATTCCCTGTGCTGGCCCTCTGAGCGGTCACCCTTCTCCTCAGATTACATTTCGCTCCATCTTACCTAGCTGTCCGGTCTTTTCAAGCATGACGCAGACTGACTCGCGTTCAGTTCAGAATTCATGCTCTTCCTTGTTTATGATGCATGACAGGCATTGCTATTTTCTCTGCGAGCCACAATCATTTCCGTTGCGTGTCGCAATGATGCATATATGATGATAGCGCCACCTTTTGCGTTTGGATTGGTCTCACTTAGGAACACAATGGTCACGGTGTGTGCACATGAATTAGCTAGCCTGTTGATTGTGACAATTGTGCATTCATCACTCTTCTTCATTGGTGTAGACAGTGTGCAGGTATGAACTCTATAAATAGCCCCTTTCTAGGCTTGTGTGTTTAGACTCACTTTTTTTGTTTGCTTGAGAAATATCGCAGTGCTTTGTCAGCGACGCAGTGACACATTGCTGCAGATTGAGTCGTCACTTATTAACGTGCACCAGACACCACATAGAGAATGAACTATATGACCTGTTGCTCTCTTTGTGTGGCCAGCTCCTATCAAGTATATTTGTCTGTGTTCAAAAGCGGTTGACTCTTAGTTCAATATTTGAAGCCTTTATTATCAGTGGGCAGAGTTCAAAAGAGGAACGGATAAGTCGTATAACCTGTACCATGTGTTGGGGAAGCTACTGTAAAGTTGTAGCATCCCCAGCAACTCATAATTAAATGAAAATTAGACTACAGTAAATTTTTAGCCTTTAAATATGTTTTAACCAGACATGACACGATAAACCGGTTAGCAATAAAAGGTATTTTAATATATATATATATTTTGTCATAAGCGTGCACAACAGCAGATGAGTGACACTGCATTTTGGTGGTTGCTTGGTTTCTTTTTCTGCAGCATTGCACTGGGTTGTTCTGCATGAAA